TTTAGCATCATTTTAAATTTGAATTATAATGTCCAGATAGCTTCATTAAGCTCAGAGCTTCATTATCTCTCTCACTAACATAAATACTGTTTATTATTAAACTGTTATTATTTAGCACATTTATGTTATAGTGCAGCGCGACGTGTGCACGTGCCTCGTTCTATAAACAGTGACATTAGAACTGGATCAGACTGTGTCTCTTCCAATACAGATGTCGGTCACAGCACCTGTAATCTGACGTAGATTAACTACGAGATTAAAAATATATTCCATCAGTCGAGGTTCTGAAAGCGGCGTGTCCGCCGCCATGTTGATAGAAATATAGCGTCTGTCCGTGCGTGCGTGTGCGCATGTGGTTTAACACAAAGCGTCAGCGGGAGATGTTCACATTATCAACGGGGGGTCAGAGAAAAACCTCCACTCTGGAAGGTGGTTCAGAAACCTCTGGATTCAAAGAGGGGGGCCACTGGTGTCGTGTAGATGATCAGCAGAACCGCAGAGAGGAAGCTGCGGATCCACTCAAAATACGCGCCGTGTAAACGGCCCCTTTAATTTTATCCTCATTTAGGACAAGTTTGAGGCGGAACAAATCTGTCTGGATGTTGTTGAATGCAGATTTCAAAAGCTGGAAAACCTTATCAACAGTTTTAGCTCGACAATAAACAACTGTGTCATCAGCATAGAAATGTATGGATGCGTCAGGGATGATATGACCTACATTACCTATGTAGATTGTAAAGAGGGTGGGTCCTAAGACTGAGCCTTGTGGTACACCATTGTTGACTGTTAAATAACTGGAGGAAGTACCATTATGTTGAACACATTGCCTCCGCTCTGAGAGATAGTTAGAGAACAACCAATGGTGTGTTCTGAGAAACCAGTTTCTGAGAGCTCATGACACAAGAAGTCATATTAGGCGATTTGTGCACGTGTATTTGACATTTTGTATGTGCACAATATCGCTATAGGTGCATCTCAGAAAATTAGAATATCCTGAAAAAGTTCTATTTTTTGTCAATCAGCAGCAGCATCTAGGACATTTTAATTCAGTTCAGTTTATTTCTAAAGCTCCAAGTGACAACAGAAGTCGTCTCAGACACTGAACAGAAACATTCATGTATAAAATAATAATTTAACAGAAACATTCATGTATAAAATAATAATTGAACAGAAACATTCATGTATAAAATAATAATTGAACAGAAACATTCATGTATAAAATAA